AGATACACAATGCTAATCTAAAAAGTCATCTTATTTTTAAGTGAAAATATTCCAAATTTGTTAAATTTTCTTATTTTCTTACCCTTCACTTATGAAATTTTAAGCAAATTAACATAATAACGTTTTTCCATGTGTTTACATGATTTAACATTTTCAAAAGGCCCGAAGGTTTATCACGATTTTCCTAAATGATTTTTAATAAGAGATCAACTTGATTTGGATGCATCCTTTATAATACACATCTTGACATCTCCCTAAACGGGAATGTATTTGGAGGGCTTCCCTTGTTAAATTTGGGTGGTCCTGCTATCTTTGTAGATCCAACCTAATCCTAGGTTATTAATTGCTCTTCTTCTAATTCTTCCTTATAAATTACATTTACATAATTACATTATACATCATTAGTGCTGGATCTATATATATATATATACATATATAAATATATATAAGTTAAGTTAAGAATATTTTCTATTGTTAACTTAATATAGTTTATTGCTATATATATACACATATATATATTCCAGTTTTTAAATTTTATTCAAAAAGTATTACACTAAGCATAATGTTTCACGTCGCATGACGATCCTTATATATATAGCAATATATAATTATATTGTATTATAAATAAGTTGACTATCTCAATTTATAATATTTATACCAATTTAAGAACATTATCATGGATCCTACGAGTTCCCTGATCAAAATTTGAGGCAAATCGGTCACGGGGTTCATGAGTTATGATCTGACATTTAAACAAAAAACACACGTACAGACAAAAGAGATTATTACTTTGTGCATTGGTATTTGATAATTATATTGCTAAATATTTTTTCATTGCTCATTGCATAAAGAAAATAAAAAATCACATCTTTCTAAAATAATAAAAAATCTTATTTTAAAGTGAGTGTTCACAAAAGTTAAAGGTTAAATTCAGTTCGAAATCGATAGTCACTACCCATTTTATTTAATAACAATATACCTTTTCAAATATCTTAAATTTGAATTTCTTCAAAATTTAAACTGCAGTGAATATTTATATTTATATTTAGAGATGTCAGAGTTTGATTGACAAATGTGACAAGTTTAAAAGAGTAATAAAACTGCATTTTTAGCACTACAGGGTTTGTTTAGTGACAAATACAGAATGTTTTGTTGCATTGTTCAACCCACATATTATGCTTCTACAGGGTGTCAGAGAATAAGAAACAGGTTTTAAAGTTTGTGATCATTCACATAAATTCTTTTTAAATTTAATACAAAAAAAATAGATTTGATATTATATTTTTGGATTTTTCAAAAATTTTAAGCGACCTCCCTTTTAAAAAACGGGAGATGACTGATTCACAACAGTTCTTTTAAAACCTACTCAATAATAAAATAAAGATGGTAATTTCTTTAGTTTTGAAGGAATATTGTCAGTTTAGAGAGAAATCACAATTGAAAAATAATCAATTTTAAATAAGTGAATAATTATAATATTTTATGCATTTTATTAAACAAAGCTGTTAAATAACAGTGAATCGGACATCAACCTCTATAAATGAAGATAAACACTTTCAGTCAATTCCAATATTTAAATCTATCTGCGTCCTAACCGACAAAAATGCTTAATTGGGTTATATCAGGTCCTATAATGGATATAAACTAAGCAAGGAAGTTCCCGGGACCGTTTATGGAAAAGATATGACCAGGTCCCCACATGGATTAATGTATATTTGTAAACAATGACTCAGATTCCTTGTTGTGAGCTCATCTTTAACTGATTCCAAGTTCCATATATGGGTTTAGATATCAGACGTAGGAGGAGCACAGCCATCTAAAGGTAGCAAACTTTCACACAAAAACTAATTGAATTTTAGCCACAAGCTCAAATTTACTAATCCCCGTATATTTATTTACACTCTAATGGTGTAATCTCTTGATATTTCAAACTTTTGAAATTTGGTTTTAATATTTGGTTGCAAAGTTAAAGGGATTTAAAAATCAAAGCTTGTGCCAAATGATCGATTCTTTTTAAAGAATTTTGCTTATTACAACAAGTTGTGTTTCAACATATTCATGTCTAGGGCTGCAAAAAAGTGTTACTAAGTGTAGTTAAGCGTAATACAAGCACGTTCAATTATGCATATATCTTCTGTCAGGGTCATAATTTGACAAAATGTAAGAAAAGCAAATGTTTAAAATAAAATATTATTCTTGCACTAAATGTCATATTTTGAGGCTGAAAGAAAATATAGGCTGAAAGCGACCCAAGAATTAACCCTCTAAAGTCACAAAGTCGATCCAGCATGATTTTTACTTTTTAGAGTAGTCTGGACCTATGTGTGAGCAGTCTGGACCTATGTGTGAGCAGGATCCTCATAAACTGCAATCCACCATTTACTGAGATTTATTACAGGAGGAATTCAGGGCACTCCGCAACCATATTCAGGACACTCCGCAACCATATTCAGGACACTCCGCAACCATATTCAGGACACTCCGCAACCATATTCAGGACACTCCGCAACCATATTCATCACAAAAAATCATAGTTTCCATTGTTTACAAGAAGGAAAGTGAGCACTTGTCTCAAAATAACATTCAAATCCTTATATTTGAAACCTGATATCAGAAACCGGGTCTGTCCTAGAGAATAATTTTTGGACCCCTCCCCCGCCCCCCCGGGCCGCCCCTCCTATCAATTTTGCACATTACCACTTATTTTTCAGCAAATTTATTATTATTTTTTTTATTATTGAGGGTTAGGTTAGGTTAAGACACTTTCTGGGCCGAGCGCTGCGGCTAGGACAGGCTAGGGGGCCGAGCGCTGCAGCCACGGGTTAGGTTAAGTTATGACACTTTCTATTATTTAGGGTTAGGTTAGGTTAAGACACTTTCTGGGCCGAGCGCTACGGCTAGGACAGGCTAGGGGGCCGAGCGCTGCGGCCACGGGTTAGGTTAATTAANCCCCCTTTTTTTTAAAATAAGTTTTTACAATATTCCCCCTCTCTTTTGATAAATTTTATCCCCATTGAGATAATCTCTCTTTTTTGTCCCAACAATCTTATAGAAGATGTTTCATTTCGTGTACTGTGCCGAAAAGTCTTATTATAGTCTGTATGTATGTACAGAACTGTACAGAACTGTAAATAACTGTACAGAACTATACAGAACTGTATAGAACTATACAACTTACACTAGCACTAACATGTCGGTCCTGTACTTCAAATGAACCGGAGTTCACAGTGTTGTCCCCCCTCGATCCCTTCTCCCCCCTTAAACCTATTCTTCAGTTAAATGATCTCGTTCGTACAGGCCGTCTAGCTACTTCATTTAAATATTTTAATTGTGATATTCTTTCCCCTTCTCCTTCCTTTTATTCCATTCTTTTCTAATAAAATGGAAACATATGTTTACAATATTGGGGTTTCAGCTTTTAGGTTTTGTATAAATTATATTGAAAAAATCAAGATTTTAATTATTTTCCAGAAAAAAACCAGAATTTCTATAATATCATATTCAAACTTGTTGAGCATTTCTTTTTCTTTTAAATAAAATAACATGGACGCCTCAGAAATATTTAATATTATTTTTAGCATTTACTATTAGTAAAATGGAGAGATGAAGGATTAAAAACTAACAACACACATGCTTAATCCAAATTTTTTAACAATCTATTTTAACATTTGATTTGTCAATGTGTGCGCAATGCGCATACAACGTATATGTTTTAAAAAGAATGAAAACCAGCAGATCCACCAACATGAAAATAAAGCTTACGGAAGATTTCAGGATAAAAGTTAGGAAATAAACATATAAAATATAAAATACAGGATTTTGAATAAACTAAACTCAACTCTAAAAAAACACATCCATCCATCATCTTGAATATTTCTATTGTTATTTTAAGCTTCTATTGACATTATAAAATGTTGTGAGAACATTTTCTAAAAACTTTTTATGAAAATTGGTTCGATCCATCATTTTCTTCCCTGCTAACTTTTCACATCATTCTCGTCTGATCAATTTACTAAATTAAAGGATAAAAAGGGTCTTATAATATATTTGATAAATATGATTTTTATAACAAGGTATAATAAGGATTATATACTCGAGTACACGATTTTTTAATTATTCCATTTCTACGCGAAGAAAATAATCTTTTATATAGAAATAAAAATGATTTATTTTAATTTAAAAAGTTAGAATTTTTACTTAAAACACGATTCTTTTTTCAATAAACGATTTTCTTCAAGATACAAGGAAAAAAAGATTCATCAATATATAAAATTTATATGAGTAAAATTTATATATGTCGAAAAAAAACAGACCTAAAAAATATCGAATATTAAGGGTAAATTTTTTTTAAAACTTTCTCATCATAAAATTAAAACTTTTAAAACTTTTGTTTTAAAACTTTTATTATGTCATTGATTGGAGAACAAAATGGTGTATTTAGTTTCATAAAAGTAAATTTACTTTTTTGGGAAAATTTGAGAAATACGATTTAAAAATTTGCTTTTCCATTAATTTTTAAAAAATGTTAATTTTTGGCAGCAAAATTACAGAAGATAAGAAATCTCTCCTGTGAATTTAATCTAAGGATGTTCGAAGTTGAACACTTATAAATATCACTTAAACGGATTAAATCTGAGTAAATTAATCCAAGGGATTTAAGAGAAAACATTGAATAAGAGATCCAACAAGAATAAAGTTTTAAAATCACAAAATAAATCTCATTTTTAAGTTTATTTTTCAGATTGAATTTTTTAAAGATATTTGGATTTTTTGTTCTCAATTTTACAAGTTTAGTTTAGTTCAAGGTTCTGGATTTGAAAGACCGGACAGGGTTTTTAAAAAAAAGTTCTAAAAACAGATCAGAATTTTAATCATGGCGGATAATTTAATTTTTACTCTAAAAACCAACAAAGTATTTTAATACTTTTCAAATTTACCGATTAAAAAATGTTGTTCTCAATTAAAGAAAGAAAAAAATTGAAAATTTTGTAATTCACAGGTTTAATCGTTTTTGATTAAAAAAAAAACCAAAGTATAATTTTTTTTTCTATCATGATATTTTTCTAAAATTCAAACCTATTTTTGCCATGGGTTCTACTAATTGTAAATAGTTTTCAAAATGAGATTTTAACTTGTAACTGGGTTCGATATTGCTTGCTCACTTTTTACAGAAACAACAGTGTTCTCTGCCTGCTGAACAGCTGAAACAGCTGAAACAGCTGACTGGTGAGCGGCTGGAACAGCTGATTCAACAGCTGACACTGGGATCTCAAGAGTTTCTGCAACTACCACTTTTTCCGCCGATATTTTCTCTATGGTTTCTTTCTCTGAGCTGCCTGGAAACTTCAGAGTTACACGCTTCGCAGCAGGTTTAGGGGCACAGGGTATCTTGGGTGGATTTATCATCAACAGGAATTCACTGGACAAAACAAAATCTCTTTTTTTCTTAAAATTTTGGTCCATAAAATTATATCATTTATTTTCACATGATTTCTTAAAATAATTCGAAACCTCGGTTAAAGTATAGGTATTTGTAATGGTTTTAACTTTTGAGCAGTTTTGAAGTTTTCCCTGCAGGCTATTACTACCCCAAGGTATTTTAAAAAATTGAATTAATTCGTCCCATGCTTAATCCGAGATTAAAAACACATGTTCTGACTTCTAAATATATTCAGGTATAACATTAAAAAAAAACATAGGAATAAATAAGCTGGAAATCAATAAATCAAGATCGGGTGCACACTGCACACTTGTTCTTATATATATACAATGTTTGTTAAAACATACAGTTTACCCCAAATCGTAAGAATTTACAAAATGCTGTTTTGACAATTTTTTAATGTATTTCATTATTATACATAAATCTTAGTAAATGTAAAAATTAATAAATAGCCATCAAGTACGCTGGAAAAGTCTTACAAAGCTCTTTAATAAAAAACTAGATATCTGCAGATTCCATTATCAGAAAGGTAAGAATACGACATTTTGTATAAATTCTTTATTCTAAATTCTTTGTTATAAATTCTTTTTATGTTTCTGAAGTACTGAAGTACTAATTTATAATATTCACTATAGTTGCCTAAAAATCCTGTTTCCTGTATCCTGTGTTCTGTAGACCTCTTCATAAATGCAAAACTTGATGGAAATTAAATGTTGATGCATCTCTCCTCTTCAGTTCAGAAACATCAAAGCCCTGGGTTTAACATCGATTTAAACTGCCAAGAGCAAGGAATGATATGATACAGTGGTCTCCGGAATGAAGCGAAAAACAAAGACAACTTTTGCGAATGTTTAAAAAGGTTCAGTAAACTGAAAAAAGGTTAAGCCGTATGGGTTAATTAATCATCATTGCTCACTGCAAGTGTTTTGATGGCACTGATGCATTGTTTCCCATTAAAAGCTTACACAAAATATATAGAGTTAAAAAATAACCAAGTACGTATTTATGTTTTTGACTAGGTATTGATATTAAAGGATAAAATCCGTCTAAAAATTTAGATGCAATTTAGAGTATTAAATATGGAAATGAATTTACATAAAAATTAAGAAAAAATATTATATAAGGCTGATCACCGGAAAACGGAAGAAAATGCCGCCATTTAAAAACAAGAAATCACCACATACAATGAAGACGACTGAAGATAAGATTTTGTTCCTGTAGGATATTCGTCCATCTTTATCCTGGTCTGCATAATTAAACATCCCCTCAATATCCTCCTCATCCACCTACAATCAATCAATCAATCAAACAGTTTAAGGGGCTCTTCACTAATTAGAAAAGACAAATACTACCATTTTTAAGGACTAGAATTAAAGTCTTTTTATCGATTTTGTTTGCCTATTTTCCCCCCAGGGTACCCATGGCTTCCATAAAAAAATGACAGTCTATTTATTGAATTAAATTGATTTCACTAATCAAGATACAGGGTTACCCACAAAGGATGAGACTTCAGAGACGACTTACAGAATTTATACTGTCTGTTTCTTTTTATCCATGGTTCCCAGCAACTAGAAATTTGTTTCTATGCCAAATCATTAAACCGACTATATTCAAGGCATGGATTGACTTGATTCAATTTGGAATCGTCATATTTGAGAGTTAATGGTCGTCTTTACATTCTCATCCTTTGTGGGTAACCCTGTAGTCGAGCTTGTTAAGAAGAAATACGCAAAATATCAACAAGGAATTGATTCTTAGCCACAAACTCAAATTTTCCAATCATTATATCTTTAGAACCTGATGGCGTAAACCTTAGATATTTTAAGTTTAGAATATTTGATCTAACATAATTCATAGTTTGAAATATAAAAGTTCTTTGTCATTAGGTTGCCAAGACACAGTGATTAGAAAAACTGTATACTGTAACTGTATACAAAAAACTGTATACTGTAACTGTATACAAAAAACTGTATACTGTAACTGTATACAAAAATTGTATACTGTAACTTAATACAAAAACTGTATACTGTAACTTTATACAAAAACTTTGTACTGTAACTGTATCCAAAAACTGTGTACCTGTTAACAAAAACTGTATACTGTAACTGTATACAAAAAATGTATACTGTAACTGTATAAAAAAAACTGTATACTGTAACTGTATAAAAAACTGTATACTCTAACTGTATAAAAAACTGTTTACTGTAACTGTATACAAAAAGTGTATACTGTGACTGTATAGAAAAACTGTATACTGTAACTGTATACAAAAAGTGTATACTGTAACTGTATAGAAAAAATGTATAATGTAACTGTATACAAAAAATGTATACTGTAACTGTATAAAAAAACTGTATACTGTAACTGTATAGAAAAAATGTATACTGTAACTGTATAAAAAAACTGTGTACTCTAACTGTATAAAAAACTGTATACTGTAACTGTATAAAAAAGTGTATACTGTAACTGAATACAAAATGTATACAATCATATATGATTTGTGAAAAATCGGAACTGAGACTTCAGTCCTCAATATTAAAAAATATGGATGAAATTTGTTATGTGATATATGTGATATCTTTTACAGGGTGTTTCAAATTAAAGTCTTTACAGTTTAATATTTGTTCAATATCAGCTTTTATCATCCTCCATATGGAAATAATGGAAATAATGAAAATTTTCATTTTTATAACAAGTTGGTCAAAGTACAGAATAAAAAGATATTAAAGATATTTAGAAAACTTGATAAATTAAAATCAGATTGAGATACAGTGAACTAGACAGGAGGAGAAGGTTAAATTCGTGCTAGGTTACTGCTGCAACTTTGTGACCTTGTAGCTCTTCTAGTTTTGATTTTACACACTTAAGTTTTAGAAGAGTTTCACATGTAACAAGTTACATATGAGAAATTCAAGACATTTTTGTGCTTCTCAATAGCTCTTCAGTAAGGGGAGTTCTCATTGAAAACATATGAAATTTCAAACTTCAATCATGGATTATATACTTGTAATTAAATAGATTCTCGAAAGAATACCGCATTGCTTTAAATAATCTTTATATATAAAGTTGTAATCTCTTTTTGTCTGTTTGTTTGTTTGTCCGATCATAACTCAGAAACCCCTGGACTGATTTGCCTCAAATTTTAAATGGGGACCTCGGGAGAACCACGGGAATGTTCTAAGTTTGGTTTTGAGATTCTAAGTTGACGGGGTCGATTATTATAATGAAAAGTTAGTTTCCCGGTTAAAAAACGTCTAAGTGCGGGTAAACGGTGGGAGTCTCTATCTGGGTTTCCAAGCTAGTATGTATATATATATATATATAAGAACTGATCTTGTTGTTATATATACTCTATTCTATGTAATCTGTTTCCCCCATAATGTACTATATATACTACATTTTACTTCCTGTCAGCACCAATATACTTTCTACACTTTAACACTTGTCTACTTCAAGAGGCTGTTCACATATTTGGGATAATATGGGAGGAACCAACTGGATTTTTTTTATTAACGATATAGTTTTACAGCGACCATCTTATCATTTAGCTTAACATTTAGTTATATTCATTATTAGAAGCTAATATATAACAAACTACTCAATACACACAAAAGGAGAAAGTCAAATTTATGCGACTTTACTTGACAGGCTTTCCCACCTCGTAGCTCTTCTTTACTTGATTTTACCCGAAAAACTGAGAAAAGAAAATTTAATTGGTTGAAAATAAGAAAATCCAACATTTTTGTTCTTTTTAATGAATTATTCTCCAAGAAAAGGAGCTTTGATTGAAAACATTTAAGATTTCAAACTTTTAAACAGTTTACTTTAGTTTGCTGTGAATTTGCACTAATTACTTAAACTTTTTTCATTGAATATTTATTTTAAAAAGTGTCAACCCCTACTGGTAATATTAGTTTTTGAGATTAGATAACTCTCCCTTTCAGCTGCATTAAGGATATTAAAAAGTGTTTGTTTTTTTACTTTAGAAGATATATAGTTCTAGAATATTAAACATAAAGATAGATTCTACCGAACATGTTTCGGCAACTTGTTTAATTTTTTTCGAATTAACCTTAAACTATACACAAACATTGTAGGACTTGCCTAGACCTATGAATTTTGTTTAATCAAGTTTTTGTAGTAGTTGTTGTAGATGAGTTTTATGTATTATATTTACTTCTATGTGCATATAATTATGAATTCTCTTTCAGGAAAATGGAAAAGTAATTCAGCAAAAAATAAAAAGTTGTTTGAAATGTTCTCAACTTAATTTAATACACAACCCCTCCCCCCCATTCCCAGCTGTTTACCCCTTTCCTTTTCGCAGAAATATGAAATATATTTTAGGAAGAAAATCAAACACTGAGAATATAAAACTAAACTCAAAGTTATTTCCCTTTTTCGCAAGAACAGCAAAACTATTGATACAAATCTTCTGATTTTGAATAGATATGAAAGCAAGAAATGAAATATATTTATGGCTGGAAATACACACACACACACACACCCTCACACAGAACATTTTTTCTGGAATTGATATTTTTTGGCGCATTTAACGGTTCTGTCAATATATCAGAAAGCTTTGGCTTTCAATCACAATTTGAACCATTATACATAATATTTTAGCCTTTTTTCTTAAATACTTTTTTGTCGGCATAGACATTTTGAATGAAAAAGTATGAAATAAACAAATCCATAAGTTTAAATATTGTTGAATTATTGACCATAACAGGTTTGAATGAAACCGAATGCTTCTCACTTTGGTTAGTCCGGGGTGAAGACGACCGGAAGTTGTTTAAACGAAAAAAGGATTGTTTGCCACGAATCATTTAACAAATGCGACACAACTTGGAGATTTAAAAAAAAATTGTATTTGAAAAAAATATTTTGGATTTTTTTTCATCAGCCTAATCTGAATTCTTGAAACAAATTATCGTAATATTGAGCTCTGTACTTAAGGTAATTAGAATTACTAGAAATATGAAGAATTTTGTTCAGATTTAGACATATTTTTTAATAAATTAAAATCTGAATAAAATATTTTACCTGTACCGGAAGTTGTCTCATGACCCCGGTAAACTCCTCTCTTGTAAAACTCTTCTCCTGAATCCTATATCTCTTTGCTCGGAAGTTTTGTGGATACGGATCTGTACCGCACAGGATCTGAACATATATGTACAGTTCTGTACAGTTATGTACAGATTAAAGATTAAAGGGAGTGTTACTTGACTTCTTGCCATTTTAAAACCCTAAAATCTATCGAAAGTAACATAAATAACATTTTTATATTTTTTTATTTAATTTTTTCAATCATCCTCGTGGGTTTTCCGTTGACATTTTTTTTTCTCTAACTTGGTTTTATGTTTAGAATCTTCAGAATGTTTAGAAGGTTTGAAATGTTTAAAATATTTGGAATGTTTAGAATGTTCATAATGTTCAGAATGTTCATAATGTTTAGAATGTTCATAATGTTCAGAATGTTCATAATGTTTAGAATGTTCATAATGTTCAGAATGTTTATAATGTTCATAATGTTCATAATGTTTAGAATGTTAAAATTTTTTAAGAATGTTTAGAAAGTTTAAAATGTTTAAAATTTTTTAAATGTTTGGAATGTTTAGAATGTTAAGACTTTTTAGAATGTTCAGAATGTTTTGAAATGTTTAAAAATGTTTAGAATGTTTAGAATGTTCAGAATGTTTAAAATTTTTGCAATGTTTAGAATGTTCAAAATGTTTAGAATGTTTAGAATGTTTAGAATGTTTAGAATTTTTGAGAATTTTTGAAAATGTTTAGAATGTTTGGAATGTTTATAATTTTTAGAATGTTTAGAATGTTTAGAATGTTTAGAATTTTTAGAATGTTTAGAATGTTTAAAATGTTTAGAATGTTTAGAATATTTAATACTATTGGTGTACCTTAAACAATTGTTGATTAAACAGTTCTTGGTTTTCTTCTCTGTATTTTCTGCAATAATAAATATTTAGAATTTCAAGATATTAATTAAATACAAATTTAAATTTTTCTCAGAGAAATACAAGGACTTTGAGACGACTGTACGGAATTTATGCATTCTTTATTCCTTAATTATTAACAGATCAACAACACGTATTTTAGTGAAACTATTGAATATTTACCATCAAGCCATGAAACATTTGTGTAAACTTTAATTTAGAGGGATTTAACCGCTCATTCTTAACCTTGTTTTTCAAACTCAGAAAGTTAGAAGTAAAGAAATTAGAAATATGTTCTATAGAAGTCTGGGAAGTATATTTACCTAAGAACTATTCTACAGAAGTCAGGGAAGTAAACAAGACCGTTGTTAGCAACCTCGTTGGTCATATCAATCACTTCCTGTTCTCCAGGGTTCAACCCCAGGGCCTTCATTGCGTCTAACAAATCCTAAAAGTAGAATTAGATAAAATTATTGACATTCATTTATGAAAAGATAAAACATTGATTGCTTTATGATGATGATGATAATATAAATAATAGTAGTAATAATACAGTGAAACCCTGAGTAACGAATACATCGAAAGAATTCATCAAATGTCGTATTCTTCACTTTCTGATAATGGAATATTGTAGATATTTAGGTTTTAAATTAAATGATTATATGGAACTCTTTAAAACTGTTCCCGCATATTCATGGATATTTATTTATTTTCTCAAATACTGAAATTTACGAAATATAGTATAAAACTCGTTGAAAAATGGTCAAGACGACATTTGATAAATTCTTCCGATGTATTCGTTATTAAGGGGTTCACTGTAGTAATAACAATAATGATAGTAACAGTAATAGTAAATAATAATAATAATAATTAATGATATTACCCTGGTATAAATGGTTCCTTCTCTAAGTCCTGTCTCGAACTGATGGAAGACGACAGTAACGACCTCCATCTCCGGTCCTGTCAGAGTGTCTGGCTCTTTATCCAACCCCTTCTCCTGTCCTATCCGTCCCATAGCTACAGTATATGTACAGTTTACTTTATCTATCCAACTCAAATGTTTGAACGTGGTTTCATTGATTGTAGGTTTTTAATTCCCGAGCTTGAATGTCGTCCTCTGGTCCTTTTGGAACTAGTTTGATCGAACTGAGCTATTCTGATAGGTATTCTGCGCCTCAATTTATTCTGGTCTTTATAAATCTATTATTTTTCAGTCTGGTGTGGTCTTTTGTGTTAAGTTCTGGTTTATTCTGAAGCTTTTCTATTCTAATCTGGTCTATTCTGGTCTATTCAGGTCTAGTTAGGTCTAGTTAGGTCTAGTTAGGTCTGCGCTCGTCTAATTTGGCCTTTTCCATTCTTTTGTGGTCTATTCTGGTCTGTTCTTGTCTATTCTGTCCTATTCTGTTTTATTCTGGTCTGTTCTGGTCTATTATGTTCTATTCTGGTCTATTCTGGTCTATTCTGGTTTATTCTGGTCTATTCTGGTCTATTCTGGTCTATTCTGGTCTATTATGTTCTATTCTGGTCTATTCTGGTCTATTCTGGTCTATTCTGGTCTATTCTGATCTATTCTGGTCTATTCTGGTCTATTCTGGTCTATTCTGGTCTATTTCTATCTATATGCACTACTCTAGTCTACTCTAAACTACATTGTTTTCACTAGATCTGAAATACCAAAATACAACATTTTATTTGTAATAAAATTAAATAAATCAAATTGGACTCAAAGAAAAGTGTTACAGCCAGTTAGAAACAAAAGACAATTTGCGGTGAAAGGGAAAATTTAAATGAAAATATAAGGGTTAAATTTGAAATTTTAAGAAACACATTTGTTTAAGATATCTTTTATATTTTTTCTTTGTTTGTTTTCAATTATATGGGACAGCATATTCTTAGTTTATTCTGTCCAATAATGGTTTTTATTGGTAACTTAATTAATATAAACATTGAAGAATAGAGATCAAGAAATACAATGTACAACGTACATTTTAATATACGCCTACCAAAGAGAATATAATCTCTGTTCTGGGAGGCCTATATAGTGAAAACCATAAATCTGTGGAATAGGAAAACTACTGCTAAGCTCAAGTTATGATTTTAAATTCACAGAAAAAGATTTTCAAGGTTCTTTTAAAACTATTTACAGCAATAACATAATAGATATGAGATTGCTGAAATGTCGTCTACCTATTCCATAGTTTTATGTGACCCAAAGTGTACGGGAAATTCTGGAAAGAAAAACGGAGTTCTGAAACTTTTGTACAGGAGAACAATGTAAATTAATTGTTTCAAATATATGTACGATTTAATTTTTACTCAGATCTTTTTATTGATGAAAAGAATCTCATTGTATTAATGTATTTTTATGTATTGTGTATTCACTGTAATGATGTAAAGCATCTTCAATTTAGCATTGCACATACATATATGAATATAATTATCGTACATCGTGCAGTGCAAATATCTGTACATACATATATGAATATTATTATCGTACATCGTGCAGTGCAAATATCTGTACATACATATNTGATCTTTGATCCATGATCTTTGATCCATGATCTTTGATCCATGATCTTTGATCCATGATCTTTGATCCATGATCTTTGATCCATGATCTTTGATCCATGATCTTTGATCCATGATCTTTGATCCATGATCTTTGATCCATGATCTTTGATCCATGATCTTTGATCCATGATCTTTGATCCATGATCTTTGATCCATGATCTTTGATCCATGATCTTTGATCCATGATCTTTGATCCATGATCTTTGATCCATGATCTTTGATCCATGATCTTTGATCCATGATCTTTGATCCATGATCTTTGATCCATGATCTTTGATCCATGATCTTTGATCCATGATCTTTGATCCATGATCTTTGATCCATGATCTTTGATCCATGATCTTTGATCCATGATCTTTGATCCATGATCTTTGATCCATGATCTTTGATCCATGATCTTTGATCCATGATCTTTGATCCATGATCTTTGATCCATGATCTTTGATCCATGATCTTTGATCCATGATCTTTGATCCATGATCTTTGATCCATGATCTTTGATCCATGATCTTTGATCCATGATCTTTGATCCATGATCTTTGATCCATGATCTTTGATCCATGATCTTTGATCCATGATCTTTGATCCATGATCTTTGATCCATGATCTTTGATCCATGATCTTTGATCCATGATCTTTGATCCATGATCTTTGATCCATGATCTTTGATCCATGATCTTTGATCCATGATCTTTGATCCATGATCTTTGATCCATGATCTTTGATCCATGATCTTTGATCCATGATCTTTGATCCATGATCTTTGATCCATGATCTTTGATCCATGATCTTTGATCCATGATCTTTGATCCATGATCTTTGATCCATGATCTTTGATCCATGATCTTTGATCCATGATCTTTGATCCATGATCTTTGATCCATGATCTTTGATCCATGATCTTTGATCCATGATCTTTGATCCATGATCTTTGATCCATGATCTTTGATCCATGATCTTTGATCCTTGATCTTTTATATTTTAATACTTTTTTCCCCAACAAATTTAAAGATGTAGATTCTCAATAACTCTCTCTATTATCTCCTGATCTAAGTGAAGATTGAATCAATGGATTTGATCTATGGATGGCTCAGATATATATTATCTATTTCTATAGATTTGATCTACGGATCTGATAAATTCAATCTATTTAATCTATTTCTATCTATCTATCTAAGCAGGGGGATAAATTACACATTTTACTTTTAAAATAATTCTTCTGTCGACCAAACATTTTTACAGATGGATTTCTTTTAGATAAATTATTCAACCTTCTTTTCTTTTTTGTCTTTATTGACCTCTTTTTTCTATCATTTATCGTTATTAACATCTATTATTTCTCTTCTAATGATTAATGTTTCTATTTAATATAATATATTGGATTTTCAATTTGAAACTTCTACATATTTTCAGATTGTGGTTGAGGAAGGTTTATGTACCGACTAAAGGGCGTACACAAGAAAAAATTGGCCTTTAAATATAATTTTCCAAAGAAAAATATTCCTTTAAATTAATTGATCAGTTAGTGTGAAAGGTATAGTAAAAGATTTTTGAATATCTCTGCTGATTTAAACTTAACATCTATTAAATGAAAAAAAAGGTAAGTCGTGAACTACAATTGTAAAAATATTAATTTCGTGAACTTCGTGTATTGTAAAAATATTAATGTCGTGAACTACAATTGTAAAAAAATTAATGTCGTGAACTACAATTGTAAGAATATTAATGTCCTGAACTACAATTGTCTTTGATCCATGAT